CCCCCGCCCCGCCGCACCCCAAAACCGCGGCCCAGGCGCCCCGAGTCACAAAATCACACTGCAAGGCTCAGGACAGGTCCCGGACACGGATGGGGGTCACGCTGGACCCCGCTGGAGCCCCAGTGTCGGCCTCCAGCCCACTCGATCCCAAAGCCCACCAAAAGTGGGAGGCAGGCAGGCACAGGACTGTGCCCTGCTCCCTTCCCAGCCAGTTCGGGGTGACTGTGGTCCCCTAAATGCCACTTGGGGAGGAGGGAATGGCGCTGGGCAGCAGGAAAGCAAGCACTGAACGTGCTTCATTCTTTCAAAATAAAATACAGTTGTAGCAAGCCTTGAATAAATCCCCAGAGGATTCCCCAAAATGCCACCTGCTGCCCCCCAAGATTAGATACAAAAACGCTTACAGTTGCTCGTCTTCAGTCGCTAGCACAAAAAAAATAAAACAATAGTGAGATAAGGATTCCCCCTCTTCCAGGCCACCCCACCGATGCTCGGTTTCCAGCTGTTATTTATTTGCTCATTTGTCAAAGAACCATCAGTACAGTCACGCTCCAGTGTAGCAGCACAAGTTCAGGAGGCAGTAAAGTTTCAGGTACCACTTTTCTTTCTGACCTACATAAAATTTACCTTTTAAAAGCAAATAAAGAAACGGTGCTACGCCAAACCCCGCTCACACACCGCCACTCAGCATGATGGTTGGAACAGCAACGTTAGAGCAGTGACACCCAGGCAGTTACGGACTCCAGCGTGGCGTTACTCACCAACATGCACAGGGAAGAGGGGGAGAAACTGGAACCAAAATCGAGTTTTGTTAGTTCCAGATGCAAAGCGTTTCTTTGAAAATCTCTTGTACTTGAGCAGATCTGCAGTATGCAGCCGAGACCAAGAAAGAAGGAAGAAAATGTAATTAGGAGGAAGATGCATTAAAGATGCAGATGCCAAGCCCGCAAGGCTGGGTCCTACCACTCATCTTTTGTTTAAAGACACTGAACTGGAGGGTGGGAAGAGCGGGAGGGGGTTGACCCACCCACTGAAAAACTGGATGTATTTTCCCCCAAAGTTTATCCTACTAATCCACTTCGACAAGCTGTCAGAAAAGTTGCCTGAGGGGATATTCCTTCCCTGCAGTTTTCAAGCTGGGGTCACGCAGCCCCTAGTCCAAGAACAGAAACAGCTTTTAAGCCCCGTGGACCAACCAAGACAAAGAAACGTGCCACACTAATGTGGCTTCTCAGGGGTCCGAGATCTGAGCCCTGTTTAATGTGGCAACGCCTGGACCCCCTCACCATTTAGAATGTCACCTCTGTGGCCTCTCTAGCCAGGCTGGACCTGACACAAGGCTGCAGGGTGATTAATCCAAGCAGCACACAGCGTCTGCTCCAAGACAGGCCTGTTAAACCGGAGTCTCCCAGGCCCAGCACGGCTGCTGCTGGTGATCCCCAGGACTGTTGCTTTCACTGGGGACCAGCACCCAGCTAATAACTCCACATTACTCCCAGCAAGGTACAAAGCAGCTGCTCTGGCTACCGGCAGCAAGGCCTCTGCAGGAGGAGCCTCACCGCTGCTCACCTGTTAGACACGCACTTAGGCACTAGGTAAGTGGTTTTTTCTCAGGATTTTGAGCCAGCAGACAAATCCCTTCTTCATTTGTGTGGTACTAATACAACACGCAGATCACACTTAAGAGCAGTAAGCAGGTTCATGCAAACAGGCTTAAGTTAAAGTGACAGGGTAAAAGGAACAGTGCAATCTCTAAGCCAGCATGCTGCCTGGAGAACTTACTGCAGGCCACGACTGGGAATGTCAGAGAGAAAAGCTGGACAGTCCCCATGTGCTATTCCCAGACCCGTGTATTTCACAAACTCAGCCCTGAGCTGGCGGTGGCAGAGCAGGTCTGACACCCAGAACCGGGTTTAGCAGAGCCACAAGCAACAGACTCAGAATTGTTTAAGTAGCAGCACAGAAGAAAAGTTCAAATCTTCAGCTGGCAGTGTAGCTACTGCATTTTGTCTCTGTTGTAAATGAAGACATCTCAGGCCACAGTCCCACTGTCTGCATTCGCATCAGGCTCCTACAAAAATAACAGGTGCTTTTTCCTAGACCTCAAGGTTTGACCTTTCCCCAGCCCAGACTCTGAGCCACGTACCACTACTTGTAAAATGATCTGCATGTGACACACGTGACAGTTTGAGAGCCAGCAATAGAAGGATAAATATTCTTCATCATAATATAAATATGCTGTAAAACATCTTGACAAGGGCAAAGTGCTTTTTTTTCCTTAATTAAAACAAAATAAAAACCTAAATATGACTGTCTCAACCACAACAGAAGATTCAACTCCTAAAACATCTGAATAGTCTAAATTACACTTAAACTGACATTAAAGTGATCCAGGCAGGGTGCTCAGTCCTTTGGGACACGGAAATTATCCTTCTCCTTCCTGATGGCCCCCATTGTTCGGATGGGGTCGGTCTCCCCAGCATGCTGCTGAACCGTCTTCTCCCTGCCAGGAGGGAACACCAGGGACAGCAAATGCAAAGACTGCCAGAAAAAATCTCCTGTATGAAGTCACCACTCTCACGTTTCGCCTGCACCAAGGGGAAATGTTGCACTTAAAGATCAAAGACTCAGGGCTTTGGCACAGGCTTATCAGCTCCCTTGGTTTAAACACTCATCGGCAAGAGGAAATTGCAAACACTCTTATGCCTCGAACAGCATCTTTTGCTGTGCCCGTCTGCCAAACTCTGCTTGATGAAGGAACATAATCACACAACGAAGCTTGTTCTGTCTCCTGAGCCAGGGACTTCAGCACTGACAGAGATGTTCACCAGAACCCTTCAAATTTCACTGCAGCAAGCTCCTGCCAGGACAGCCAGTATTTTTTAAGGAGGGTCTCAGGAGCATCAGAACAGGAATAGGTGAGGCAGAAGAGCAATTCCCACTTAGGGATCCCTCTTTCTTTGGAGAACTCCCTCTTCCCACAGCCCCCCTCCCAGCACAAGGACCATCCCCACAGCCACATCTCCATACCTCACTCGCATAAAGGGGTTGTACGTGAACTCCTCTGCGATGGTGGAGGGTATGGTTGGCTCACCACTGTCATATTTTGCCTGTAACAAGGGGGAGATCTCTGCTTAACAAGGCATTTTTTGGTAAACAAGAAATGTTCTGTACATTAACCACGTAGGGTTGGTGGTGCACCCAACAGCCTGAGCTGCTCTCCTCAGGCCAGGCCCTGCCCAGGGCCTTGCACACAGCCGGTCAGGCAAGCACTGAGCTACACACAGAGAGACCTGGACAGAGCTGACCCTCCCAGATGCGGGCATCAGTCTGTAATTATACCAAGGAGTTTCCAGGGAGGCTCCCATCTCCACTAGACAGCAAACCATCTTCTCTGGGCTGCACACAGACCCTGCTCCCCAACACATCACTCCCCTGGACGCACAACAGCTCCTGTCTCTTATCTCCCTTTCCTCAGCCTCTCTTTCTCCCCAGCATTGTCTTCTCTACCTCCTCAGAGAGGCTCTGACTCCATGAAAGCATCAAGCCTAGGGGAAGGATGCACCAGCTTACCTTGGCCCAAGCCAGCTTTTCCTGGATAGTGACGTTATTGGGTTCAACATGTCGAGCGAACTTGAGATTGTTGATGGTGTATTCGTGACCGCAGTAAACTCTCTAGGAAGAGGAAGGAAGAGTGACACCGGGTAACTCTGCAGGTACGAAGGGGGAGCTCCAGGTACCACCATCAGGTTATGGCACAGCAGGAACAATGGAGTCAGCCCTCCAGAACACACAACACTCTCCACTGGAGATGTGCACTAAAGAAGGGCCTGGAGTTATCAGCCGGTATCATCTGCCAATTTAATGATGAGCCTGATGAAAGAGCCCAGGCATCCCAGCTCGTTAAGTCTTTCTTTTAATAAGCAGGCCCTACTCTTTCCCCACAAAGCACAGAAGTATTTGGGGTAGGCATTTCCTTCCCAGAAGACATCAGCTATTCAGCATTAAAGACAATTCCTGGTGTAAGCATTCATTCTTCCAACACATGAGAAATTCTCTCTCTGAACAATTCTTAGGAAGACTGTTTTTTTGATGTCTCTCATAGTTTCTGGCCGGTTAATTTATGAGCACAAAAGGAGAGGTTCATACCGTTTTGGGGTCCAAGCTGCCCAAAATCTCAATCAGTGCTCTGTACATTTCCTCTGGGGTTCCCTCGAAGAATTTCCCACACCCAGCCACAAACAGCGTGTCACCTGCAAGGGAGGCGTGACACACCATCAGGACCAGACAAGGCTCCTCACAGATCGTGAGCACAGGGTCCCCAAAGGCCCAGCCCTGCCCTTGCTGTCCTCGACGCAGCTCAGCAGGAGGCACAGGCAGAGCCGGGTTATGCTGCTGCCCCACACAGGCTCAGTCCTAGATAAACCCATGCAAACGCAGCTTCTAAACACAGGAAACCCCACGGCCTCACCAGGAAAACCATGCCAGCACTTCCCTACCTGTGGGCAGCCCGCTGTCCCTGCTTGTCCCTTCTAGAGTGGACAAGGAACACTTGTTCTCTTTGCTAGGAAGCTAAACAAAGAGGAGTCACCTCCGTGTTTTCTTCCCAGTGCTCTCTAAAATCTCACTTGAGCCATTACTTCTTCCATGCAGCAGCTGGTGCAAGCTCTGGAGAATGCCCATCAGGAGAGGGATGACATGGCAGTCTGGGGAGACTGGGCACTGTTTCAGGGAAGGGGGAAGCCTACTCTCCAAAACAGGATCCAGAACCTGGCTACCAGCCCTCTCTTACCCCCCTATTTTCTCTCAGTTTTGTTACAGACATGAGTACAGATCTGTGGAAAAGCAACAGGTTTTGGAATCAGCCACAGTTTGGCCTGAGACAGTAAACCAACAGCTCGTGTTTCCAGGAGGAAACTGCTGTAGATGTAGGACTCATCCAGGGCTCGTTCTCGGTGTTGCTTGTAGGGTGTCCAGCAATAGTTTACAAACCCAGAGGGGTTTCACCAGTTTAATCTACAATTGCTACTGGGTAGCACTTGATAAGGGGGCAAGACGTGGATGTTAACCACTGGCAGAAGGGATGAATGCACATCCAGAGTCAGGAGCACACAGGCAGAGGGGTAGCTTAGTTCTTTGCAACAAAGACTGCCAGCAATGTAACCTCCCAACTCCTCACCTGTAAAAACAGCAGGTGGCTCGGAGCTATTTGGCTTAGTCACATAATAACAGATGTGTCCAGAAGTGTGACACGGCGTACAGAGGCATTTCACATTAAGAGATCCCACCTGAGAAGAAGGCAGAAGACTAGAGCTTAAGCTTCTGGTTGCTAGCATTTGCATGGTTAGAAAAAAATTGCAACTATCACAACAGTCTAGTAGTGCTACAGGCAAATTCTCACATAGCTGGCCAGTAAACATCAGCTCTGCTCCTGGGAGAGTCCAGCAAGAGTTTTATGGCAGGGATTTGGAAAGGAGCTGTTTCCGCCTAGAAGGTGTTGTGACAAAGAGAACTACCAGATTTTTTCATTTACATGCAGAGTGACTCGGTGTCTGTTTGGCAGCAGGAGGAAACAGATCCAGAGCAACACAAAATCCTAAACAAAGTTAATCGAGTGTAAAAAGATCCAAACAAAAATGAAGCTGACGGGAAGAAGTGGACGACACTCACAAAAAGGGAAGGATTAAACACGTTCATGAGGCCAAGGGGGTGCTTCCCCCACAGCCCCAATCTGCACACCTTCCCATGTATTTCCATGTTCCCTTCTTTGCTGCTGTCCCCCTGCAAAGGTGGGCTAGCAGTGACATTCATGCCAGCCTGCCCATTTCACAGCAGTTTATGTCAGCTGCCAGCTCATCTGTAAACAAACAGCCAGGCTCCAACAAGGTTTGCTGCTTTAGCTCTGGGAAAGCAATGCGGGCAGCTAGTACTGCTGGCCCACTTTCTATTCACCCTGTATTCCAGCCTTCACTCAGAGAGGAGCACTTGTGTTTGTTGGGTCTTAACTCGGCTCCAGGCAGAGCACAAGCCCTGTCCTTTCACACGTCTGTTCTACCAGCCCAGATAAGGTCGTTGTCAAGGAGCACCCACACACCAGCACGCTCCAGGCAACATCGGTGTCGGAGCCACGTCAATGTTCTCATCAGTGAAGTATCACCAAACAAAACAAAATAGAGGGGTTATGGTTCATCAGGCTGGAAAAGGGCAAAAGCTGTACTTAAACTATCACCTACATCCAAGGGATGGTAGAAGAGCTGTGACCACAGTATTAACTCAAGTTGGACCACACTGGCCCATCTCTAAGGCTGCAACACAAAGGGGAGATGCCCCCAGCTGAGTCCTGCAGCTCACTCCCTTTACCTTGAGTGATGTAAGGTGAGACACTTTCTGCGTCAGCGCTCCGACTCTGCTGTCTCCCCCATACACGCGCAACCCCGACTCCATCTTTACGAGCTTCTCATTTCCTCCAGCATGGTCCCTGAAAGGCCAGAAGAGTGGATTTGTGCAGGGATAGAGACAAATTTATCATAACTCATACTGCAATGGCAACCTCCCGGTGACCATTTCTAATCAGCTGTTCTCCCACTATCTACACTGTCCTCATATCAAAGGATATGCTGCATCAACACGAGTGGAGACAATTTCTCCAGTAACTGGGCCAGTGAGGGAGGGAATAACCCCCCCCCCCCCCC